CCATTACCAGCAAACTCAGCTGCGCTGGTCACCGCCGTCTTCCTGGATGGGAACCCCGAAACGGGCCACATTATTGGCTAGAGACATTGTCAGACATGGCCCAGTCGCGCCCTCAATGGCGCTCGTGCATCCAAGCTATTGCCTTCAATGCATAGCTCCTTTTCCAACCCACCCCCACTTGACAGCCCAGTGTCCCTACCCCCCCCAAAAAAAAAACATCGGTGAACGAAACTGCGGCAGCTACAACCACTGTACGACGAGTACGCGGTTATTACAGCTGACAATGATGACGATGATGATGATGATTTTGAGAGTTAGATAGACTCACTCCTTAGGAGTGCCAGGGCATTTTTCTCTTGGGTGAGAATTTCTGTCATCAAGATACTCAGGTAGGGCGGTTCGTAAACACTCTGAGAAAACTCAAGGATGTCATTACGAGTTTGGTACACGATAAGTTGTGCCATGTCGTCAGCGAGTCCCCTGTATTTTGGTCCGATCACTTGACGAAGCATACCTAACATCTACTTAACGACACTGGGCATCTAGTGGAACACCACCAGTAATTCTATTCTCGAGGAAAACATGTTGAAAAATCCTTTCGATGACTTGCGCACAAACTAAACCTGAATGCAATCGAGGCTACCGAGACAGACTGAGATGAGTCCTTGAGCGAAGGAACGTGTCTCTAAGCCGTAAATAATTTTCTGTTAAAAACTCACCCATAGCCCAAGGAAACGACATTGACAGAATACACTGCCTGAGGATCATCCAGGAATTAACTGTCTTGGGCTGGGGGAGCGAAGGCCTTGGCGTTCATACAACTTATAGGATCAAATCCCTCCTGTTGGTAACCTAAACAGGCACACTTCAATCAGGGGAACCATTAGTTATCAGAGAGATGGATATGCGCATTGCTGTCACAAAAGCGCGCCAAGGAAATATTATCAGACGATACCCAAGACATTTGGTCACATCAGTGAAATGAAACTCCAAAACTCATCGGAGTGCTCACCTTTTCGTGTGTAAGGTAGCCTGGATCTGCGCAACTGGCTATCATGTAGGCCACCAAGGAGGTCGCAAAACAGACTACGTAGCTCACACCATGGATGATGTCAGTTCCAGCGAAAATCATCCGATGAAGCGCTGATTGGGGATGAAGAGAAAAAAGCGTGGAGATGAAACATTTGTGAAACCAAGAAGGACCGAATGAAGTGCACCAGGAATTACCAGAGAGCAGCTTGCGTCTGTTCTGCTTTCACTCAGCCCTGTTACTTGGAGGAAATGAGATAACTACGAATGTAAATCACATCCGCGATAGACATGATCAGGTGATCCGAGTTTGTGCCTGTCGTGTCAACCTAAGATAACCTATTCCGGGTGACCGGAGGGTGCTGAATATGTAGTAACAAATACTCAACGACTGTTCCAGAGTAGACTGCCAATAACGCTTAGTTTCTCAAAAACAGAACAGCTACTGGTCTATTACTAGCCAGGTCCGATCATAGTAGAACAACAGCGAGTATTAGGGATATGTATAAATGTGTACATACGATATACGCACAGAGTTATGTCTATATAAAGAGAGAAATGCAGACTGACAGAAGGTTCAAACGAAGTTCAAGAGGAAGCATCAAATCAACCGAACCAGAAGAACTAGACCCTAGGCTGGACCCAAACACATGTAGGTTTCCCCACCGACCAAACACTTGTTCAACCACTCTAACACGCTAAAATCCCTTGGCCGACACCCAACAGAGATTCAGCTTGACTTAGCTGATTGATTCTCCTTCCGCCTTAAATCTCGACCACCCTCGGAACCCAGTCATTTGGCCTGACGAAGCCTTTGTGTCAAAAGCGAAACGTTGTCCAACAGTAAATCTACCGATTGTCACCAAACCTTTTTCGAAAAAGAAATGCAGAATACTTAATCTACATGAGAGCGGTTGTTTAGACAGAGTCGAGTATTTGAGAGAAACCACTCAAAATGCCGGGAAATCATCTGCCACCCTCGATGTTGGAACTCTGAACAATCCACAGAGCCATTGTTTGAAGTTGGTCAATCAACCGAAACCTCCAGTGGGTTGCTCACGGGTTGGTTTGGATGGCCAGGCCAGGAATTAAAGAAACTGGATCAATATAAGTAATGTAGGGGCTCATGCCAATGTGTTTATCAGCCTGATAAGTTCACAAAACCCATTTCCTGAAATGAGAACTACCAGATAGCACGATCCGCCTTTTTTGTGCCTCGCGATATCTACCAAGAGCAGATAGGTAGGGCAACAATGGTCACTCTCCAAAAGCGACTGTTCTGGAAAGCAGCTGCATTGGAAAATGAGTTTATAGCTTTATGTGAAGGTTAAAATTGTTTCATTGGCAGAAGATCCCGTGAAGAGCATGGTGGTGGTTCTAGGCGTCCGGCATTAGTTCCCTCGATGTGTTTTGCTAGCAGGTGTCACTCACTTAGTTTCACTTGATTTCATGAAAACTCAGTGGAGGGTTCTCACGTTTCAACGATCCTGAACGAGATCTATCAATACGTTATATAGCGTTGATTTTGTCCCATGGTGTGAAGTTATGAGGCATCTCATCAAGACGGACGCTTCGATCAAGTTCACCCTCAAGGGGAACATTAAAGTTAATCGAAAGGTGTACCCAACCCGTAACCAGAGTTCAGTAAGACGTAAGGACCACACATTTGCGCACATTGCTGTCTTAGTCCGAGTAGCCGAAAGAACTACATTGGCAAGCGTGCGTAATATCTAGCTCCTCGTTAATCGGTGGGAGTGGGATGAGGGAACAGAAAATGATGACTAAGTCGCTTCACTTGATTCGACGCCTACAAACGCACCATTTTCGCTTGAAAAGAGAAACTTTCAAGCGTCCATTGTATTAGTGTGCATTTCGCTAAAACTGGAAGAGGAGATCCGTTGTGATATGGTAACATTTCTTAATACGCTCTTTAGTCGCAGTGTCTAACAAACTATTATTGATCCGCAACTGGAAGGTTATCAAAGCATAGGCACAACTCACGCACACTTCAAGAAAGAACAAAGGTACTTGGAAATACACATGACTAATCACCATGACCCAGTTTGGAAAAGGGGTCACGTTAGGCTCGCCTGCCTAAGCCTTACGCACCCAGCCAGCTTCTGGATGTTCATCAATATGAGATTAGAACCGTGAAATGATCAGACTCGTTATAGTGAACTTCAGGTGGAAAATATTTCTCACTTTAATCGAAGAACATAGGACCGAACTTAAATACCACTGTTTGGAAGAACCAGATGCTTAACTGAATTTTGATGTGCAAAAACATTTAGCAGAAACCAACCGTGTCAGTATCCGCAAATTTAGGGTCCTTGCTCAAACAACTTCAAACTGAAATCTGTTTTTTTTTTCGTTGCGCGATTCATGTTTTTTTTCGTTAGAATTCCGTGTCTGGAAAACCATTCCACGCATGGGGAGAAGTTCACCCTAACCATATTAATTTCACGAGGAGCTCGTCAATCCAGCTGTAACCAAAAGTGAACAAGTCATTGTCATAAACAAGAGGAACAGCAGCGGTCGTCCACTGCCGTGATATATGGTTGCCATCAACTCGCACGTACTTACCAGATGGACGAAGTAACAACGGCAACATAATCGCCAAACAGACAGAGATATGCAGGATCCGTACACACTGTCGAATGGCCCACTTCCTCATTCCGATAGAATCGGTCGCTGATGGTGTGAAAAACATGGAAAGTTCCGTGACGTCACATTAGTCCTGAAAAAAAGATAACGGTATAGTGGTTTGACAGGCTAATCGATTGAAAGGAGTTGGTTGGTTAGTTTCACCCGTTACTCTGCATTTGGAGTGCATTTTAGGCATGTAACATCTGTCGAAGCACGCAATCCAAATTCACATCGAAATTGTGGCTACCTCATCACGTGCTGCAACTAACGTAAGTAGGCTGTATACTTCTTAATACGCCAATATGATAGACCCGCAATGCTCACTAGTATGCCTCTCAAGTGGAGGGTTCATGCGCAAAAGCTATCGCAAATACTGCTCCGTGTTCGACACGAGACTGCTTCAGTGGATCGTCCAAATTAGTCATTTATTCGGAACTCTCACAAATAACTACAGGGTCATATTTTTCGCGATGCGAACGGAAAGACACATAGATGCCTTTAGTAGTTGTTTCCAATAAATAATAAGCCTGCCTTCAAAATGGTCTGCATCAAAAAATTTATGGAGCACACCGGAAAGATAATAAGTCACACAAAAAGAAATTTCATTCCCAACAGTAACGAAAAATCTTAACGAGCTTGGAATGTTACCAAACTTTATTTTTTTTAAATTTATCCGTCAAAACGGAAAAAAACAATGGAACAGCCGTAGGACTAGTTCCAGGTCAAAATTGAACAATCATGAGGGCAGTAAATCGAGCAAATCTACCGTGCGGCAAAATATTCTCCACATCTAACAATGTCACAGCGTCTTTCAGATGTCCACATCGTTTTAATGTGTATAACGCTCTGTTCGGACTGTGCAGTTGCCACCGAGAAAGAAAATTGGATCAACAGATGATATAGTGCTTAGAATTTCCCCATTCGAAAAGAGTAGTTAGGATTTGGCGAGCCTGTGAACCAACAAACACCACTAGTTGAACTGAGTCAACCTTACTTATGTGATGAAACCATGTCCTCTGATCGGCGTAAGGTTTTCTATGGTTAGCATTCTCGACTCCGAGACAAATGGATGGAATCGCTTTCCTCGGAAGTTTATCGACGGATTGGACTTACTTCGACCCCCTCTTCGTAGTAGTATTGATACTGGTATCCTTAAACCTCCAAGACTGAAGACCTAAGAGCACACAAAGTGTTCCACGTGCACAGGTGATCCATGGATTTGTAGTCCACATGTTTCAACAACCGGTTTCCGTCCAGTTATTACTGCATTCGACTAACAGCCGGAAGAAACCGTCGGAAATCGGCTGGTCACGGTTTCGGGTTACATCCATACCGTTGAGTTACTGATTTCTATTCAACATCTAAACAATGGAATCCATTCAGTAGATGCGGAAGCAAACGAACAGTTCGCTCGTCTGCATGCTTACAAATTGCAGCATTCATACAGATAGTGTCTGTGCTCCGACTGCTTATCAATACGACCCAACATGTACAGAATCCCCAATCTGGATTTGAAGTTGACCGTCGACACTTCAGACAGTGGCCAACTAGCTGGTTCCATTGTCTGCAAATTGGTGGACGGCCTTGAACGCAGTACAAAGTGCAGGCCAATGTCAAATAAAATAACAGAAACGAGGACAGGAATTGCTCGTTGACAGAATTACGTTCTGAACCTACAGTTGTGTGGTTCACCCTCCCTCAAATCGGTGTAAAAGTTATTCAAGTCGGTCAAAATAAGTCGTACACTCCATCTCGTAGAATTATGGCTTGCTTATGTAATTAAACCATACCCAGAGGTGAAATACACTTGAATGTTGGTTATGTAGCTCACTAAAGTCGTCTTTAAAGAGTGCAGCGCTTCATACAGGACATATGAGTTTTACGTACCACGGCTGTTCGTCCCGTCTGCATGGAAGTCAGTCATCGAACAAATGTGGCGCCAATCTACACGGGGAACGCCTTTCATCTAGTCACGCCTGTTGAGTAAGAATTGAATCGACAGAATAAACAGTAGAAATTCAGCGGGAAGTCACTCAGCTACTAACAAGTTCCAAAGCGGCCATGCCGTTCGATGGAAACACTCCTGATGCATAAGACCACTAAGATAGGCATGCCGATAGAACAGAACGCTACAAATACTGCACTGACTCTAAGGTGAAAAAACGCGCGTACGTATTGTTTTGCAGCAATGACTCACGCAACCCTGAATTCCGAGTAATTTCACATTTGACCATTTTTAACCAATGACTTGAGTAAATGTATCACCGATATGAATTCTCATATGCATCGGAGTGGTACAGTCGAAATGAATGCGTCCAATTGATGTCGAATGAGACGACTTAAGCTAAGACGACTTAAGTTAAGACGATTCAGCGGTAGAATCCCTTCAAAGCACAATTGCAAAGCAGGGGTATTGTGGCTATAATGCGACCCGTCGGGTCTTGCTATCGCATGCGTACACCAGAGGCAGTCTGTAAAGGATATTCGCCATCGTAATAATAATCCCGCATCGATGTTCCTAATAAAGAAATTATAGATGCACCTATTGTAATGCGGCCTAGCTGAAGTATTCTCAAACATTTAACAGTGACTCCGACAAGACGCATAGATATGGACTACGTCCCAAGTGATGCGTAGTTTGTAATAAAAACCGTACCCAAAAGCTGAGACAGTCAAAAACTGGAGACTATACCCCAAAACAATTATGTTCATTTGCTAAATCTTCGCTGCAGTATGTCACTAACACCAGCGGCGAGAGACCAACGTTCGTTAATTTCATCAGATGGTTACCCTAAAAGATAAATGCATAGGTAAAAATCGTGTAATAGCAAAGCTGTTTTGTGGAAACAATACTTCGCTACTAAGGAAAATGTTTGTGGCTAAGATGGTATAGATGGTCGTTGGTTTCTTCCCTGAGCTGGGCCATTTGATTGAACACGTTTTATCACCAATCGAGATGACATCAACAATGCGCTGTTAAAGAGGGGGTGGTGGTTGTGCGTTGAGAGGTGCAGGCGTGTTAATATACGTGAAGCTAACCAGGGCTATCCTTCGGTTGCGATCGGTTATTCGATCGGGTGTTTCTATTGATTTGTCTGTTAACCTGCTGTTGTCATTGTTGTTGTTATCCTGTTGCTGAGTGGTTGTGACCTTTGATCTTAGCCTTCCTTGCTGGCCGGTGCTAGAACGACCTTTGACACCAGTAGATTCCACTTCGTGAACTTTGTTGGCTCCAAGGGATATGTTTATCCAATAGTGAGCTCTTTCCAGTTGGGGTTTCAGTCCGTAGACAGTAGTGACGCATAAAGTGGATTGGTCGATTCCTTCGCGGAATACCATGCTTCCAGAAATTCCGTTCATTTCTCCTGTCTCCGCATGCCATGATCTTTAAGTCTTCCAAACTGAAGTTGTGACCTTCTTAGTCTCCATGTAAGAAGGGTCATGACCTTTGATGGTCGCATTGTGTTCCCTCTGTTTGTCCAGTATAACTTGCAGTTGCTGCAGCTGAGTTGGTAAACCACGTGGTTTCTTTTGGTTTTATCAATGCTACCCTTCAGTTTTGAAATCAGTTCCCACAAACTAGCACTCGGTTTGTGGGCTACGAGGATTATTTTCCACCTAATAGTCTGGCTGAGTTCAGATATATTCTTCATGCGGAGTACAACTATTCGTCCGGTCCTCGTTCTCGCTGTTGACACCGTCGATGTACCTTCTTCACTCTTCCCTTTATAAAACTCCTTGGATAGCCATTGTTCCGTGATAGTCTGAATGGACGGTTTTCTTCCTTCTCTCTTAGCTCCGTGGTGCTGTCACGATTCTCCACCTTCTTGAACAAGGTTTGGATGCAGCTTTTCTTGTGGTTCACTGGATGTCTGGTGTTGTAGTTCAGTAGTTGATCTGTATGTGCCCCTTTACGGTATAAGCAGGTTTTAAGATTTCCATCCACCTTCTTCTTCACTAAAACGCCCATGGATGGTTGTTCCTTCCCAGCCCAACTATGAACTTGATATCTCCAAATACAGTACTGGGTGATTCATCTGCGTTGTGTACTGAATCTCATTTCACGACGACAAAAGTGTCATCTACGGAACGGATCTGCAGTTTTGGGCCGATACTTGACAGTACAACGCGCTTTAATTTCTGCACCAACGCTTCAGCGATAAATCCTGACACTGGAGATCAAATTGGAGTCTTTCAGGTACTGATGTAATTTCCATCAAAGCTAAAGTATGTATACATGCAAAAGACCAACAGCTTACGGAGATATTCGGATTTCATGGTTCCTGTCGTGTATGGATTATTCTGGTTTCTCCCACAAGGTTGTGGTTGACTGAAGGGAACAGTGTCGCTTTAAACAAAAGCATCGCTTCATCATCTGTATTGACTCTCTGTAGTTTGCTTAGAAATTGAGTGCTTAAATCTACTCGTCTTTTGCTGATTTGAAATATGGGATAGCCGGAAGTGAAACGGTTGGTCAAACAGGAATTCGTTCTTCGTGCCTTTGGTTGTTCCCAAAATCGTACTATGTTGGTTTCATCGGCCCTCGCCTCTATCGCTCCTAGCTGGTTACTTCGTGTTGCCTGCAGTCTCTTGAGCGTCATGCTGATTCACCTGATAAGGTTTGAAATTGAGTCATGATTATTTGGTCTGTAGATAGTCATGTCAGTTGGCAACTGCTTGGCTTTCTCAATGTACTCTCGATTGTCCACTATCACTTTATGCATCCTTTGTCCGCTGGTAGGATTGTGATTTTTCAATTCCTTTGTAGATATCCGAGCGTCTCGTTCTTATTTCGAAATTACTTTCTATTCCGTGTGATCACCCATACTGTTGTCTGGTCTGTTGTTGAACCCTTCTGCACATTCCGTCTGTTTTCAAGCCCTGTTCTGACCAAGTAACCTTTGTCGGATGCGTCCGGGACGTTGAAGTTGAGTCCACTGATTAGAAGTTCTCCCACAGCTGACAGCTTGATAGGCTTTTGATCCAACCATCACAATTGTTCGTTTCATTGCTTCTGGTGAGTTTGCACAGTTTGGTTTCCAGGGATGTTGTGCTCTTGACCTCATCATTAACTCGGAGTCCGGTTGCTCCCACAAATACTGGCAAATGTGGTGAACCAGCTGCGGTAAGGCAATTTGTCTTGCTATCGTTGATTACTTTTCCGAGATGAATATGGGCTTCTGTTACCATCAACTTCACCACTCGTCTTCCATGTTGTCTTGCTATGGTCAGGGAATGCAGATGGTCTAACGCCGATCTGCGCCTGGTACGGCGTGGTAGCACGTTTCTATGTAGGCGTTTATGGAGGAAGTATAGCTTTTAGTGCACAGCGGCTTTCCAGCAGGGGAAATTTTTCAAGCGACGAGCTTTTTTGAGAGCTGTACGCCTGAACTAATTTGCTGCTGGGGATAATGGTTGTAACTCAGATAGCATAGATGGTTACGAGGCCCTAGTTGGGCACAGCTCAAAAAACCGACACGCCACTACCCTCTACTCCGCTTCCTAAAGCGGACTGGTGATGTCACCTTAATTGGTGATGAAACGTTTGCAAACGTTTGCCAAGCTCAGCGACCGAACCAACGACCAGAAACGATTCAGCTACCGTTATCGAGATCCTGCCATAAGGACAAGATCGGTGCGCTCATGTGTAGACACAAAAACAACCGCTGGGCGGTATGCCTGCCCAAGGTTATTGGACAGTCAATAACTTAAAGAAGTAATGCACTGTTCCCGAACTTCAGTCACCCACGCCTTCAATATACCAGTCCATTTTTGGCACATTCTCGATCACACGCGGTTCGACTCCATACCACCTTCACTATTGTACCTCTGCATGTGCACTTCACCGCTTACCATAATAAAATGTCGCCACTATACGAGTCACGAGGTTATACACACTGGTCCCCAAAAATAGAAAAGCAGTCCCCATAGTATGCCATAAACCTTGCACAAGAATGACTAGGAGGTAGATGAATAAGCAAAAATTTGAGAAGAGGGTGGAAGAGTATTGTTGATGAATATACTGACACGCATTAAATCAGGAATGGTGCTATGTTGAAGGGCATTGAAACTATGGAACACTTTGCTTCGGCACACTTTCGAGGCAGCTCAAGGTCCGCATAGTTCAAGAGTAGACAAGAACGAAACCAATCAGCAAAAAGTCTAACCAGATTAAGGTACTCGACTTTCACTGCGATCAAAATTAGTCTGCTATTCTCGGTCGAACAGAAGAGCATTACTAATGCAATGGTGAGTGAATAAGCCTTAAGGCATGCACACATGCGCACACAACTATATCGATGCGTGATGAACTGATTGTTCCACCATACTTGAATTGATTAACATCAGCGAATCCAAAGTACAAGCGCACCCATTATCTGAAATGTACGCGCAATCGGTAAAAACCGTAAAAAGTCAGGCAAACATTGTGACAGTAAACAACAGAACGTATTAATATACAGTAGCATCTATGTGCACACATACAAATACATGTTACACAGAGAGGTAAACGATGCGACAGAAAAAGGGGAGCAAGTCTACCCTGCAATCCCAAACAAACAACAAAACCATGAAGTCTGATTACGTCCGTAGATTGGCAGCGCATGGGTCTGGAGTTCAAATGGCAACAAAAGGAAAAGAAGTAAAAAAAGAAAGTATGGGTAAACCTATACAATCGCAAAGGAGGGCTGAAGTGGAAGCAGAATGATGAACGCGATGGGGTTCAGTAAGAGAACAAAGACAAAATAGATCACAGAAATAAGACAAAGCCACCACAAAAAGCATTAGAATGGTGGTGGGAATTAGAAAAATACCATACAGAAACGAACTCTGTCAATGTGTGATTGGGCAGAGAAATGAGACCTGACAGTAAGGGATAAGATTGTAATGTATCGCTTGTCGCCATTAAACTGAGTCTGTTTGCCGTCGATTTGACCGCATCACGTAGCTTCCGCGTTCCATGGACCAATCAGTAAATAGGAAGCCAGCAAGCTGCCAAAGAGGACCAAACAGCCAGCTATCAAGGTGGGATTGGAGAATGATAGATCTGGAAGCGAGAGAGAAAAGAGAGGGGTGAACCCGTATCACCGTTAGATCTTTTTGATTATGATCGTGAAAACCTGTAATCCCCTCTACCGCTCGGAAGTAATCTGTTTCACGAGTACCCTAAGAAAGTCCAGTAGCACGAGTTGATCTGTCTTTCAACGACCAAGTATAGTGTAAATGGAATTCAATTTCATCAAAACGCTTCAGACTATCGACAAACTCCTAGTCCCGCAGTCAAAAACAGTGAACGTACGATGACGACGTCAACTCTCCCCGTATATACGGGACAGAGATTGCATTCGAAATTCCAAGGTCACGAAAGCTGGATGGCTAAGGAATATCTATCAACGGGTACCAACTCTATCAGAAACAAAATTATCATTGCTACGAAACAAGGTAAACTTGAAGGGCTTGAAACACAAGTGTAACTTTCAAGACAATTGGGGGACCACTTACACTTGGTAACTGGCTGAACCGAATGTGCGACATTTTCAAGCAACTCCGTCTCCGAGTATTCCGTTTCAACATTGCCTTAGTGTGGTGATAAAAATGAAAACAAGAACGGTTAAGACATGGTTCAGGTGTATAAAAGTGTGCACGAAAATTCTATTGCATTGAAATGGGTGGTGAAAGTATCGCTCGTAGTCTGTGGACGATCGATCGTCTACGCATTATGCAGTGTACACTGACGTATCGAAAATACGATTTTTGCAGGAATCTTGAAGGATACTGGTAGTGTAGCGATAATGTGGGTTTGATAATGAAAAGACGAACAACTGGGCTGATTGTAGCGAACGTCTCTGGGATGCCAGGTGTATATGTACGTGATAGTATGCACGGCACTGCAGACAGTCTTCGGTGTTGTCCAGAGAACAACTGCTACCCGAGTTTATGTAGGCCATAATTGCTTCGCTACTGAAGACCTCGGTTGTGAACTTCCAGGCTGTCGGTCCGCTTTCACTGTTGTCCCCAATCTACTCTATACGGACTGTATTAAATTGCATTTTGTTGTTGTGAATTCTATTTCGTTGCATTTTTCATGTAGACCAGGCATGCGTCTGTAAATGAACCACCCTGAAGCTCTGGACATTCCGAGGGGTTAAACCTAGAAGTCTCTCTCTGAAAATTGTTGTACAGATTGATGGTTAGCACTAGCTACCCTGATGTATCTGTCTGGGAAAGTCTTACAAGTTGTGCGGGCCATAAGTCCACCAACTATGGCCTTAAGTGAGCTAAAAATTACGGGCCATCAATGGGGCATGCTAATGGTCTCCTGTTCATCATCCGGTGTTTTGCCTTCGCATTCACACCGGACGGTTCACTTGGTTGCACATGCGGCTCAGGGAAAGCCGTCAAGGTAACAGTCAAATCCAGAAACGCATGCCAGCCCATTATGCACAGTGATGCATCGGATATAATACACACACTACATCAACTATATCAGCCGTATCGACCACGTGTATGTACACAGTACTCCCTCTGCCTAACGACCCCTCTGTAATGAGTTCCTCTTTAATACAACCTTGTGGCTGTTGGGGGTCTCAGAACCTTAGGCTATTCTTCCCTGGTTCGTCTGGCTTTTTGCAGAGAAGCACTATAGCGCAGTCAAATTCCCTGCAGCCTTGATTCTCAAGGTTATGTCGACTTGAATTGCTCCAGTGGCGTGAAAAGCGTACAGAAAGTGAAAACGAGCTGTGCTATGAAGGTACACAAACGCGAAGTAATAAAGAGTCCAGGAATCGATACAGGACTTTGGATCATCGAGAGATTAAGGTCAGTTTTTGGTTAATTTTGAGTCGATCAGTAGTAAACTGTGAATATTTAGCCAGAGATAAAAAGATGAGCATCAGTGGGGACTCCTTGAGTCTATCCGAAGAACTCGTTCTTTGAGTGGATGACTTAAGTATGATCCACAATACTACCCACCACTATGTGTTACCGTCACCAGCACAAGAAAGTTGGAGTGCATTGAATTCCGTAGTTTGCCTGGCATAACAAAAAAATACAATGCGAACATGTTGTAGCTAGGTATTGATCAGGAGATTGATCGCGAGTTTGAAATCAGGTTTGAAAATTAAGTAATTCGACAGGCTCTGAGACGGCATGTGGGCGCCGCTGATGAAAGCAAACTAATTTGAGAGGGAATTTAGATGTCCTACCGTTTTCCCACGACTCGAGGATATCAGGTGGATGGCCAACTATTTTGAGTTCTGCTTGCAGCTTCCGGTTAGCGCAAAACCAAGGCCGAAATCAATATGCAAGCTACAAGTGGTGGTCCATGACCAGCGGACCACCTCTGGATTCCAATTATGATTCAATGTTGAGACAAGCAGTAGAAGGTTCTCGCGTGATTTCAAGCGTTGATACGCAAAACATGCATTCTGTCACGGAATGAAGACCAGTGCGGTGAGGACTGAAGTCAAGTTTTGACAACCGTTACGTAGGCGGTTGACAAACATCCCAAGGCTAGGACTCAATCGCGAAATGTAATAAACAGTTTCAGCCTTATCATCGCTGCATGCGTGTGTGCGTGTGGCGTGCGTCCTTATCATCGCTGCATGCGTGTGTGCGTGCGTCCGTGAGCGTGAAAAACAGCAAGCATGGTAGATATGGTCATTGTGAATGATGTCGCCCCCGCACCGTGTATGACGACATCTACCTGCGGCACATCAAAAATCGACTGCTCGTAACTACCGAAGGCTACCCAACAGGTTTCAAATACCTGGGCTTGTTGTTGACGGACAAACCAGACGGAAGAGTAAATGACGATGTCAGTGAAGGTCCAGGCGGGCTAAGTTGAAGAGATTCTGTGTATGTGTACTTAACATCCTGTGATGGTTCATCACTGTGTATATCAAATCAATTTAAACCATAGCAAAATGCAGACTGTCATGCGGATGTGAAATGGGTTCAACGTATCAGCAATGCAGATCCGCAGTCTATCCAAAGCGATCCAGCTGTCAAGCCACTCCCACTTGTCAGCGAAAAGTGGCCTGGGGCGGCAAGCCTACAACGGGATGAAAGTAACCTTCGACGATCAACTGTCCACGGACAAAATCGATGATCTGCTAGTAAAAGTCTGCCATATGTCTTAAGTGCATCTTATGGGTGGCGCCATAACCGACAAGCCAATCTGCCAAGTCAACAGAATTCCATTTCATTGACGTACCCAACCTACCTATTATGGTATGGAAGAAAATAAACCGTCAGTATCTTACGTCCCCTTTGAAAACACAAGGTGAGTTATTTGATATGAACGTATGGGTCCTCTTTCGCATAAGATTCTCCACTGCCTTGCTGACTAGTATCGACAATACGATATGAAATGCTGTTTAAATAAAACGTGGAATTGACAACATGCTATTTAGAAGGTGGCTGAAAGCTCTTATGAGTAATGTCAACACAACACACTTGACATCTTGAATGTGCATTTTTCCACTTGTGGATTCGACACCTTGTATGAATGCTTATAAAGAGATCATTTTTGTGGTTGATAAATAAAATCATTCAAACTAACCCACTGGTTCGGGATAGCAGGAAGATAAAAGGAGAGGAAAACAAAAAAAAATAAAAACTTCACAGACAGGTCGGCATACCCTCTGGACTTTGCTCGAGTGATATGTCCAAACAAGATGCATCAATCAAATCCCTGGAGGGCAAAGAACTTCGCTCGTAACCTCCACTGCTCAAACTTTCGAGAGAGCGGGCCGATNGTCTGTCCAAGGACACATCGTTCCCGTCACCAGAACCTCGAAGCCCGATTGGGACACAGAAGTATTGCAGTCTTGAAATGACATCATCTGTTGTTTCCGAAATGAACTTATAGTCAGACAAGGGTAGACGAGGACAAGCGGGCAGACGCACAAGAACCCGTTGAGGTAGCAGCATTCTCGGAACTGACGGAAAATAGATCGACGAGAAACGACTGAGATGGATTGCTTTTCATGAAGCTAGACAAACAATGGGAGTATCGTGCCTCCGATAAAAGCAACGCAATAGTTACGTGATGTCAATGTAGTTTGAGATATAGGATGCTCTGTCAAATCAGTTTTATGGCATTGTTGTGAACACAGCTGTTAGCTCGAAGAAGGCATCATAGCGCTGAAGTCAATTGGACGCAACTGAAAGAAAGGATATATCTGTTCACTCAATCCTACAGGGTGAATCCCAACGCTACAGACAGTTGACTTAAATGCATGTAATCACAAAGGTATCCCCCATCAAATTGTCAGACAGCGGCACAAGGCGATTGTACACATACACTAAATAACCCAGAGTTGAAATCGGTGTAGGAGAAATATATCAGTTGTAACACCCTTTCGATCCCAGTCGCTATGCCACCCGAACGAAGCACGAGAGATGGGATACCAACAGGTTGCCCAAGGCTGGACGAGAGCAGATGAGATATAGAGATTGGGTAAGAGACACGAACCTTCCGGTCAGTAATTTCGCGTCTTGACAGCTGAGCTAACCCAAGCTCTAGGGTGGGCGCTAGAGGTGAACGGGCCTTCCACAAAGCCGCGAATGTCCAAACAAGTCATCAGTCAGAAATCTACCCGTTTTTGGAGAGAAACGTCGCAAAACCGGCAACCGGATCAGATGGGAACCGAAGAGAAGTTGCATTAACTATTAACTATTAGATTTCGAAGGTATTACCCAGCCTCCAGATCAGTTGGTGCTGCATAATAGGTCAAGTTGACTCAGTTAGGTTTTTGTACGTCAACTGAAAGAAGACATCTAGCCTTCTAGTGTGTGGAAACGGTTCGACGACAATCGGGCACGAAGCCCTGGTCAGAATATCTGTTTGTTTGTTTTGGATAGGAATCTGTGCTCAGCGCTATTGTGCCCCCAGTGCGGATATATTTATTCACAATGCTTAATCCGGTAGGCCACCAAAACCCCAGCCACCCCACTAGCCGATGTTAAGCGGTGGCAACCTATCATCAATATCCCATCCAAACAAAAAAGGAAAAACCGACTTTTATGCCCCTTTACAGGTAACCAAAATGATAAAGACAACGCAACGAACAAACAAGAATGATGCGAAGTTTTTCTTGGACAGCAGGCAGATGGTTGTTCTGCAGGCTTCTTGATTTGAGCGGGACCTAAGTGACCGGTTTCAACGAGGTGTTATTGGTGTACTCAAAATGACCGAAGACTTCATTTATCCCATAAAGTCATAGTAAGTAAAGCCGCCGTTTATTTTCGGCACTGTATTCGTCAGGTGAAGTTGATCGATAATGTGTGCCGAAAAATAAGTACAGCCAAAGCAGCAGATTTTACCAGAATCGAGCAGTAACACACCGATCGAATGAATACCAGTGACATGTGGTTGCGTACGCAATAATTCACTCAGCGCGACGCAGAAATTAAAATGACCAGTCATTTTTGTTGTCGACAAATAACCTTGCATTTACACTTTGACTCGTACCTCTTGAGGTCATCGAGAAAGATTCCGTTTAAGGATGACGGGAAATGCGCAGTGAATGGTTAGAACAAGACGTAAGTTCGAGGTGCCTTCAGTCTGTTAAACACTGCAGCCAATTTGAGAAACGTATGAAACGAGTTTTTAAATCTCTACCAAATGTGGACAGACATTTTAAAGCCTTTAGACACATGTTTTTGACCCGTCCTTCAGCCATAGTGTCGTAGAACTGCATCAGAATGTGTTCTCAAACTAAATTGATGATACCACGTATTTCACGCTGGTAGAGCGACTGCCATCGTATCCGCAAACCTAATTTACTCACGGACGGATATGAATTTGGTCCATGCACGGCTCTGCAGATAATCGTGGCAAAGGCCCTACTTACCAATCAAGGATATAGAGTATCTTTCTATCGGGTAGGGGGTAGGAGAAAACAGGTAAAATTGGCGTATCCTAGGTGAAGGCCTTAGCAGCCACGTTAACCCGAAACCAACTTAGTTGGGACAGCATGGCCTTATGAGCTTGCAAAAGACGTCCTACCTACACTAGTTACCTCGTAGAACGGTTGACCATACACTCCTAACGCATACGCATCGATTCAGTACTTGCCTGGGATCGTATAATAGTCACCAAGTGGGTTCGGAGAAATGGTGAGAAACATGTGTTCGTCCACTTATGATTACATCAGAACCTTCTGAAACTATCAGTTCAACCGGCGAAATTTTCAATGTAGCTTGATGTATATCAATTCGCTAAGGGATAAAGTAAGCAGATTATTGTGAGATAAAAACCATATCTGTTCAGTTGTGTGCCCTTTCTAATGACTAGGCCAAACAGTGAGCAATCCAAACCGTGTTAGTGATTCTTTTTGAGCGTTCTTTTTTGAGCGTACTTTGAGCGTTCTACCGTGGCCGGCGCACTGAAATCTTGTTGATAAGCAACACGATCACCAAGTTACCCCTAGGGTCACAGTCTAGTGGTTATGGTGTCTAGAAAACAGGAGAATTTACAAATTAGAAAAACACGCGACCTTTGTGGTTCGCAACATACTGATGAAACAGGAAAACGGGAAGAAACTTCGAAGCATTGCTATTGCAACTATCTGAAAACCTGAAAGATAACTCCTCCAGCGGTAGTGGTGGTAGTGGTGCAAAGTCCTAAGTGTGGCAGCGCTTCTGTTGTCACTATATTCAGTTTCTGTGAAACGAGGCTGAGGCAAACTATGAGTGTCCTTGTTCATATTTTAGTGACTAGCCTGTCATGCAGTTATGCCTAAAGTACCCGACCTGAGTAAACATTAACAGATACATACGGGCTCAGCGGTGAGGGATTTCCAAGGGGCTACATTAGCTCCCGCCCCCTCCCAGCGGACAGACTATCCCCAAGGAATTGTCCAAATGGTATGGAGGTCCCCCTAGAGGAAACACCTTAAGGGGAATGCTAAGTGTTTGCATATGTTTCAAAGATATAGTGTATCCAGTCAAAAAATTAGGTGAATGTTATCCGATCTAAGCCAAGGTGAACAGTGACACTGAGGAATAGTGTGCTCATTTCAAAGCAGAATAAGAAAAAGAAAGCTAAGCATGCCGGATAGGTAACTTCATTATTAAGGAAGCGATTTTAATCCAATTAGTTCACGCATTGCGCCACAACAAACAAACCTCGTTTGTACCCACCTTCTAGTTGGGAGCTTGTGATGTGGAGTTCCTCTGTAAGCAGTTCCAGGCGAGCCAAAATACTCTGGATAAGATCCTTTCGAAGTGCCTGTCATGAAAGTAATGTGTAAATGCATCATCCTTTCCTTGCCATTTGACAGCTCACTGTTTTCTACAGAACAATGACCACTAGACATTTGCAGCGAAAATTTGGTGTTGAGTGGTATAACCTGAAGTTGTTAGTTCAACCCCGTCACTACATTCGACAGCGGTATCAACATAGAAGCTCAGTTCGTATTTCGTCGCATTTCTTGTTCACTGAGCAGGAAAATTTGGTTGCAACCGATTTATCGACAAACAGCGAATTTCTATTAGCTATGAAATAGGGTCACTGCACGCTGAGGTCCACTATTCTCTCCAATGAAATTCAGTAGCGACTTTTGCATACAAGAGACAGCAGGAAGGTCTAGATGTCGTCAGCTAGTGACCAGTGGTCACTAACCCAGTATAAGAGCAGGGCCCTACTAGCCTACCTATAGGGTGTTGACACCTGCTGGTGTTGATGCACAACTAAATCCACTCCGACCCTAAAGGCACTATTACTACCCTCAGTTGTTCCGGCCGAATATGATTCGCCTGAAACAGTATGCCGGGATCCGACCGCTGCTGGAATCATCAGCAAGATACCAAGTGGAAGCCATTGTTAAGTGATTCGATCCATATGATTGAGATACCCAGTATATCAGTTCACATGTTTAGGTTAACTTTGCAGCACACGTTGCTAGTCATGGTAAGAAAACCGGACTGAAGTCACACCGATGGTTGGGGTACACGGTAACCAGTAGAGCTGATAGTAAGTTATACGGAGGGTTAGTCTAAGGGGCATATCAGATCTGTGTGCGTAATTGGAGGGTACGGCGTTGAAAACGTTTGTAGATGTGATGAAATATGGAAATATAACATAACTACAGACGTACAAGGGAGTCGTTGCTTAGTGACCCTTGACATGCCAACCGTGATTGCCATCTTGGAGCTTTAGTGGAGTTACCAGTGTCACGACAGAACATGGAGTTGCATCGGTGAATTACCTGGGCGTCGACAAAAGAGCAGTTTGGTTCGAGAATGTAATCTACATGTGGAGTAAGTAGGTGGTCCCCAGTGGTTCTATCGCCTTCACACTCAAAATTCTGTGCGTGAGCACTTCGAATCGTACTTGTAGTTGGATGACTTCGGGATCTCGCAGCGAGGTATTCTTCAACGGCCGATTATCAACCTATGGAGAGTGCTGTTTACCTTGAACCCAGATCCAACTGAATAGCCTCATCTCTTATGAAATCACCCGGATTGGTTACTCGTCTGACACAAGGTAGCGATAATAGTGCGCACAGAAGTTATTAACTTCAATCGAAGTACTAGAGGGAGAAACCAGCAAGATTTCTTTGCGCATTAACTGACGACACATCAAACGGAATGGCGGTGCGCCCAAACAGTCTGAGGTAGTATCGTTAGGCACCCAGAGCCGGGTGGGTACAATGAAGACAGATATACTATATCATCATATTCCGTATTATCTATAAAGTAAGATGCATATGCTTACAGAGGAAAACATCCCACAAGTCAAGAGTTTCCTGTCTGGAAAGACCTGACCAGCCAGAATAGGGTCACGTGAAACAAACCGCGTGCATGAAGGCGCATTACTCAAAGTTAACACAACTGCTGGTTAATTACTAACAGGATGGTTGAATTTGAACCCACCTGCGGTATCATCGGGTGCATATTGATGATATTTCTGGACGACAAAAAACAGGTGGATTTATGGTTTCTTGGCAAAAACTAACATCACTTGGAGTTCAGTACGCCGTTGGGATCTTAGAATGTCTTAAATTTAACTGTTCATCATCCCAAAGGATGAGGTACATTAGGCACTCCCGAAACGATCACGAAGGTTGTCCCGAGGCGTAATAGACGTAAAGAAACCATGAAAGCCCGTGCTTCGCGAGGACTATTGTGTTTCGACGAATGTTCAATCTCTTCCAACTTTACCGATCACGAGAAATGAGGGAACGGGTGTCGTTTAATCAAACGGAAAATGGACTTACCTCAAACAAGGTACCAACCGTAGTATTGGATGGAAGAAAAGCAATACCAGGAATGCACCCGTTAACAATAAGACGATTTATTGGGACAAGCCCTGCACCTGAAGAATCAGTGCGGTCCGTACCGCCAGTGTAGCCCGTGTCCGAACTGGTCCCTGATTCCAGCGAAGACGAGGAACTGGCGCGTTTCCAACGCGGGAACTATACGATCAGATGAAAATATAGAATGGCGTACAGTCGATTTTTCAGCATTCTAATGAGTGGATAGTTGGAAATGATAGTAGTAAACGTCTGATATTTATTCGGGCAGTTTTCGTCCATGAAACTTTCTTACGTCAGGATGACTGAATTACGTTCACTCAGACGAGCTTAAGTGATTAGAGTTCATGTTTACTTTCAAACTGCATATTGCTAACATAAGATGACAGTTGCTGTCAGATGCTTTCCAGAGTTGAACAAATACCAGTCATCCTCATGAGTGACGGACATATATGTGGAAAGCTCCGGGTTTGTCTGGAAGAGACTGGACCTTATCGTAGTGCGACGGTTTGTGTACCTCAGTAGCTCATTGAGTTGTACTGAAGGATGCTCGTGCAACATCCACCAGGTCCGATAAACACGGTCTCCTGGAGCTCCAGGTTGGGGATTGGAACCGGCATGATAAATTGTTCCTTAAAATTTGGCCTGCTGAGTAGTCTCAAGCCAACCACGGCTTTCTTGCTGTGAAGTTTTTAAGCCAAGGGCTTCGTTTGAGGAGCCAATCGTCCTCCTGTCTAGGTGACCTGGGTGACCCAGCATTATCTCAGCCCACAAACAACCATGGGCAACTATACTACTGGCTGTGACTATGTAATAGCGAAAAAACGCTGTACACAAGCAGAACTAACCCCGAACGCTTCGAATCCCTGAAATACGGGGACAAACTTTAATAAACAGTCTGATGGCTAATATACACTCATTTGCAAACTAATTTGCTTTTTTTCAGCAAACCAGCAACCTAATGAGTAGTACATTACGAAGTTTGATGGTTCTTCAGAACGAGTAGTTTACACATTGGCGTACCTGAGGTCCAAAGATAGTAAGCTCGACGTCTGCCCAGCATCCTTTATCAGATCCTGGGTCGCTTGATTCTCTTCCCAAGTAGGTTTCACTGCCAAAATCCCCACTCTCCCCATAGTCGGAAGTCTTCTCAATACCAAATGAACGACGCTTCGAAACTTTAGACGACTTTTTGCGTTGCTTCGATGAGGACAAGACATCCATGGTTTTTTCCCCAACATCTGCCAATACATAATCAATACTGTCTCGGAATTCCCCATTGATCAGCAAGTTCGATTCTCTCAGCAGAGATTGCAAATAAGGTTTCACAGCAGCCTGTGATAAATGGGATTTTTAAAAATGGAACCGTACTGTAAGGTAACGTAACAGATCACAGGAAACCTACTGTCATGTCAAAAGCAGAAAACAAAAATGATTCGAATGACTTGAAATTGAAAGTTCCGTGAATGTTCATACTTTAAACGAACCGTACTGTAAGGTAACGTAACAGATCAGAGGAAACCTACTGCCGTGTCAAAAGCGGAAAACAAAGATAATTCGACTGAATTGAAATTTAAAGTTCCGTGAATGCCCATACTTTAAACATGCCATACGACACACGATCTTTAGAGGAAGCATATAAGGGGCCACCGAATCGGACTTTTCTTAATGGATAAGTATGAACGATCTACCTCGGATCACTCGTCCCACTGTACAATAATTCCAAGAATTTATCAACCTGGTTTCGACCGGCTCATATGCACTAAACTCACCAAGACGATTTGGATGGACCGAGCACTCTGAGAGTCTGGATCATAGGCACCGTGGTGGTAGTGGTGGTGGTGGAATGTTCCGTTCCGGTTAGTCAGTTTCCCCTTATCTGCTTGTCCTTTTTCATACCCACCTTCGAGATGCACTAGCAGATTTATGGGAAAGTATAACACATAACACTGCTATTCTCTAGCCCTGCACCCTAGTACCCTGATTTGATTCTATCTCAGTTTGGTTCGGTAAAGTGCCGAAATCGTTGAAAAAATGTTCAAGTGTTCACGGTCCACGCAATCGACAAACAGCCGTCCACCACAATGAAACAGCAATCTGCAGGAACACTCAAGTGTCTGTCACGTTACTGCATAGAATAACTTGAGCTCAGCGACGAGATCCTTAGAGCATGGTATGCAATTAGTTAGTCAAGCACGAATAAGATGTTCTTTAGAAAGAGCGCGCAGCTATGGGATTGGCTGCAATCGCAATCTTCTCGTCTTGTGAAGGACAGAAGTAAACACTTTTCGAACCCTACCTTTATGGCGTTTTTTCCTTACAGTTTGGTTAAACATTAAGTGGTATGCATCGAGCAGGTGATCTGCTAATTTGCCAGGAGCAAAGGATGAGTAACTGAAAAACGATCTGGCGAATTCGCTGACCCTCTCCGATACCTTCCAGGAAGAGAGTACAACTTCATGACGACAATCTTCGCACTACAGGAGACAGGGTGTCCCCAGGAGGGATGCTTCCAGGGGCTCGGCCTGCTCACTCTGGAAAAAAGCACTAACCAAATAGGTGCCAAATTATGATGAAAAATAACGAGGTTAGCTCCCTCGGAGAGTGAGATCGTGAACATACGAATAGTCGCGGCAGTTATAAGTCAATCTATGTAGTCGAATCCGTGCTGGGGGAGGGTAATTTAGTTATGCCGAGATAGTTCCACTCTACTGATCAGCACCAATCGTGTGGGACCGTACCCACTGAAAATGCTTACATTACCTAAGACAGCAACGCCATCACAGGAGGCTCGAAGTGACTCGGAAGATAATAGCACATGTTTGCCCGCAATCGCTCCATTGATGGGCTATCAGGACAGCAAGTTGCTCAAGTAAACATTTTACCATCAACATGCGATCAAGCGCAACGGCCACGCAGCACTTCATGATTTGTACGCAAGGTGCGCATAACAAAACAGGAGACAGTAATAGCCAGGTAATTAGTCATCAATTACACTCATACAAGTGAACTGGGTGCGGAATATCCAAGCAGAGCTTCTCACCTGTATTTTCTGAGCTGAAGTACTAGGCATTTAGGATGTCCAGGAGTCTACGAGGGACCTCTCGATACGATAAATACTGTCGTAATTTCTGACAGCAATGAAGTTGAGTTCGGATTACCACTGCTGACAACTGAATACCATCGTCGTTTCAGGAATAGTTACAGACTAAACCTTCACGCAGTATTAAACACAGATTGTTTTTCATTAACCTGCTACTCCCGTCATTCTTGCTGTGGATAATACATCAATACCAGTCCCCACATCTTTTAACATCGTTGTGATTTTAAGTGTCGCTCTGAACCGTTGCTTCCTTGGTTCACTTAGATCAAGGTTGTCTAGTGAGACTGGCTACTCAGGACTCTGACGATTACCGCATGCAAAGCCGTTTGTCCGCTTTTTTGAAGGAGATTTAGCCATTTATGTGTTATATTGGACAAGTTGGAGTCATGTTGCCCGAAACTACGCACGGCTTCCGGGACCTGTGAACGAAAGGTCATGAGGATTTTGGTGAATGGATGAGCGGCCATTTCTAGTTGTCACCTAAAGTTGCCATCGTCAGCCGAACTAAGCCATATACACACGGTTCTGTCCCTTCAGAAAGCCGCCCAACCTCCAAAACTCTCGTTATCTACCGCTTCTCCTCATGGGTATCCTGATATTATGGTCTCTACTCTCGGCTTCCTACGTTCGTTCGCACCGTGGAAGCCGTGGAAGCGCATCGTTTAGACGTCTACGCATGTGTTAGCTGGATTCTAGGAGTTATATACTTAACGCAAATCGATTCTTTACGGTAGTGGTCCAGTGAAGGCGAACCGACCAATCCGAATGAACAGCTTGAGTCATACGTAAAAATGAAATGTCACCCTCGTGAACACTATGGAGGTGTTGGTATCCAGATACATACCACATAATAAAACGGTAAAATTCAACAGCATGGGGCGTTTGTAACAAACTGATGCGGGGTCTGGCCTACGGGTACTTTTCGAGTGATAGAAGCCGAATCACATGACACAAATGCACCTGCTGGAAATCTCCACTGAAAGGGGAAAGATGACAGCCCAAGAATGCCTGGAAAAATCGCTTCCTGTTGTTTGTGTAGAAAGTATCCAGGCCTAACCGACCGCACAGATCCAGTTTCTTAGAATATTCCATAGTTTGTTGTTATCTTCTTGACCTATTCTCAGACTAAACAGTTATCCTCGCTTTGAGTAACAATTTTAACAGCAAAGCTATTTGTAAAATAGTGGGTATAAGCAGCTTATAAACTTAAAAAGGTTTGGAAGTAAACTCGATGGAGATGGTAATAATTCCTCCTAAAAAGACAATAAATAAACGCCGATGTTTCCGGACAAAGAGAAGCTAATCGAACAGGTGAAAACGACAGGAACACGCTTGAAGCCGCTAAATAGGCGCCCACCTGGAGCTGTAAGAGAATCTCTTCTTTTTGTCGATCAGCCGGTAGTACAGTTTCCACAGAGAGGCTAATAGTTGTTCTGAACGTCCTGTAGGATTGGATGAACATCTGGGGCTTGACAGTTGCAGATCGGAATACTGACTGAAAACAGTATAAGCGTGAAAACCAAACTCACGACTGAGGAACCGACATCTAGGATTTTACAGGTAAACCTGAAAACGGATAGAGTGAGTTAACTTGGTTGGAACTCTACTTTTTGCTCTGGGGATCACATAGTAGCACCAGCTTTTCATTCTCCCGTGCGCCAGTTATTTCCCCGATCATCGGGTCTGTCTTGGGTAAGTTGAATAAAATCTATAAAAAAAATCTCCGAGAAAAAACTATGGACTCACTCTTTTAAGATGCTCTTGCTCTGAATTAAATTCAGACAGGGTAGAAGACAGACAAATGCCAGATATCCTAATACCACCCGGAATCATACGGTTTAAGTTACGGCAGTGTGATGCGACCCATTTCTCGTCTATATCCCGTATACATCGGAGAGCTTTTATTTCAGATCTGCCTCGTTCCGTGTCTTCCTTTGGTGGCAACTCGATCGGAAGGAACAAGTGCTCATCATGTCCTAAAGTCTATGGGCATGTTAGGACGAATTGAAAGACCTACGCCACTGAGGACTACTCCACAGTGAAAACCAGTGAGACCAACGAAGCGGTCAGAAAACGACGGTTCATATAGCGCAGATTTGATCATAGTAAAGTAGGGGGTGTACGAGCTGAACGAGTGGAGCAAAATGGCAATTCAACAGTTCTGATTAGAAATGAACAATAAAAATGCATGAGTAGCGGTTTACAGCAACACCTTATAGTATTATGAAGCGGAATAAGGATAGAAAATACCATGCAAACAAGAATTGACACTGGACGTGGATGTACCTCAATTCCACGCCCCTGATCCTTTAAGTGTTTTCTAAGTTTCCACTCAACAATGAAGCAGAGAAGCGGAGTTGAATACGGTCGAAAGTGCTGCGGATAATGACTAACCAACAAAAACACACCCCTCAAAATGAGTGGTCAGTGCTGAACACCGACTTCTTGAGCTCTCATCATCGTCGACAGCATGACATCAGCGTTAAACACCGATGTCTCGCTACCGTACGACAATGATTTATTTGAAAGCCTTATACTGAGGAAGAGAAGAAAGGTCGACTCCCAACCTGGAAGACCAGGAGACTGCGTCAGACCTCCAACCATTAAGCAACCTGGTGTGAGAGACTGCGTGTCGCGGGGACACCACCCAGTATAGCTCAATGGTTAATTAAGGTGCGCAAACCGTCACGCCACTGTAAGGTACAGTCACTTCGTGACGGTTGAGCTTTTCTAGCGGTTTTCCAGCAAATGGAAGCGAAATCAGGTATCCGGCACCACTGGACGTTGGTTATCTGTCCGAAACAGCTAGCAAAAAGGTAATTTCAAACCACCAACGCGCGCGCACGAAACGCCGTTGGTTCCTGGGTTAGAATGAAAGGCTCAAAAACGCCATGAACGAGAGTTTCAGCTGGGTTTCAGGTGAGTCTTTCGAAAAGCCAAATCTGTTTGCAAATGGGTGTATATCGCTAATTCCGTGCAATTTGGTCTCACACGGAGCTAATTCCGTGCAATTTGGTCTCACGTTGACGGAAACTCGGGGAGTGCGCCTTACTGATGATCCTCAACCAGGGCGGCACGATCGTGGGCAGTCGAAGAATTTTCAGCAACCTCATGAATAGTGTATTACGTTTGTGCATGTATCACGATATCCTGAAAATCGTAACAAGTGAAACATGAGGCTGCCTGGTGCAGCACATTCAGTTGCTTGAAAACACCATAAACGAGAGATTCAGCTGGGTTTCAGGCGATTCTATCGGTGGATGAGGCTCTATGTGTGCTCAGGATGAACGGTTAGCCTATGTTCGACAAAGCCGTCTCATCAAAACATGCTGCCAAGGAAAATTCTAATAAAAATCGTCCAGTTGTGACAATTTCAGTGCCTAGCTGTCACGCCACGCGAAGGAAGCACGAGGGCTGAGATACCGTCAGGTTGCCCAAGCCAGGAGTAGTCGAGATGCTGAGATTGGGATCGGACCACGGACCTTCCGGTCGGAATGTTCGCGCCTTAACCATCGAGCTATCTCGACCTCCATAGACAAGCCTAGTTTGAAACAATGAGAGGTAAATCCAATACATCTCCCGAGGCCACACAAACTGGCTGTTTACGTAGGGTCACTTCTTAAATTAGACCAAGAAACACCACTGTGTACTGCCCTCTCTGAAATAGGACTGCATGATTCAGGCACAATCACAACCGTGTTCGTACTCTTCGTGACACGCTCGGGGTCATTAACTGTCCGAAATTCAAACGCCAACGCTACATGATTGTGCTGTCTAGTCATTTCAACTCTTTGTAAATGTGTCGTTGTCCGAAACAATTGACCATATTTGTGATTCGGTTTTATTATTACTTATTATTATCGTTTATCATTTTATTATTACCTTTAGGACTGTTTTTGTTCCGTGGTTGCAGTTGTGGACAGAAGGATGGAGTACCTGTGAGTTCTCCAATCGGACCATTTTGAGCGATATTTTCGCGAAGAAAAACGAACACGGCGTATCGAATCCATTACCCGAATAGTTACCATTTTGACGGCCCAATGTCGGGGACACTTTTGTTATCCACGGTTGTTACTACAACCGATGCGATTCCGAACACTTCTTACTCGGCACGCTACCATTCATAAACAGTAATGCTTCCGAAACAACCAAATGGTAACTAATGACTTCATTCAGAACACTGCATGCTGTTCAATTGAGGATCTACTTTAACGATGATCGATAGCTGCAGCATCGAGGGTACTCTCTGGTCTCATCCTTCGAAGGTTGACTGAACACTTAGAGAGGCAATTAGGTTAAAACCAAGCTGGGCCAAGTCCTGTAAGAGGACACATCAACGACATTTTCATCCTCCGACAGATTCTGGAACAGCGACACTGCCTCCAGCAACCAACGATGATAGTTTTCCATTACCTGAAAGTTACCTTTGATTTGGACCGTCAGGCACTCTGGCAGTATCCATGAAGCAAAGGTGTTCCTCATAAATTCCTCACCCTCTTTAAGGCACTGTACACCAACTTCCGCAGGCACATGAAGGTCTACGGTAAGATCCCCCTTGATTTCACTACATCTAATGGTATCAAGTGAAGCTGTCCTTTTTCACCCTCTCTCTTCTACTCAACCACTGATGTGGTCGTCGAAGACACTACTAATCTCTGTCTGTGGGGTCGAAATGTCCTCAGGTAATTCGCTGAGATATCGGATATGCATACGACAAAACTCCTGCCGGATCCGACAATGTCATAGTGCAGATATTAAATAATCGAAATAACTCTGCCTAAAGTTTTGGTATGCACTGTAAGGTGCAAAGTGCTGCTGCTAAACTGAGTGGGCTAGAACCCCAAACTCATGCTTGGGGATGAGCTATAATCACTGCACAGCAAGTGCGCAGTTCTTATGTCAGTTTCTTTCGAAAACCACTCGGTGCACTTCACCACCACTGATCCAATGTTCCCATCAGACTCTGGCAATGTCCCGGAAACGTCAGAGCATCCTGAACTACTAGCGTCCAGGTTTGTAACTCATATCACCACAAACGCACCGGGGTACTGTAAACTGGAACCTTGGTAGACAAGTTGATGGAAAGCCTGCGCCATAGATAATGCAGGATGAAAAACAGCTTTAGTCTGCCCAATATCGTCTTCGACTAGAACTCCAGGACCGCCCAGGTAGCCAATTTTTGTTTCAGTCCGCGATTCCCAAAGCACGAGGTTCGGGTTTAGTCCTATCGCCTTGTAGCAACACCTTGGGCTTGTAGCTTTTAGTGGGTTGCGTATCGATGAAATCGGGTATAAAAAGGGCTGGGCTTGATATTTGTGAGCACACACTCTGGGAGCCTTTCTACCTCGTAGGCATCAAATGCTTATCGCAATGGGTGGTGCATGAAACACTTTAAACAAACATGCAGCAATGCGGCCAAGACTTCTCGCTAGGTTTACCGTTCTCCGCCTCCATGTTATGCTGCACCTACTCTGGGGATATATTCCAGCTAGGGCACTTTGACGTGACAGATCACCTGGCGTACAGAACACGTGCAGCCGCACCAACTCATCACCTGGACAAGCAGCATTTGTCGCCACAAATTGCGCATGACTCAGCATTGCGCATTGTTCTTATCATACAATAGACAGTTGCAAGGCTCCACAAGCGTAAGCAACACTGGGCGCATTATCATGTCGCAGACCCTTTTTAACTGGTACGATAAATCTCAACCTCATATATAAGTTGAAGAAGTACCGGTCTTAGCGATTCTAGCACTCAGCCCGTTTGCAGATATCATCTGACGTGAGTCAACTGCCAAGGTGGTTAAATCTGTCCACAATCTCTAATGGTTCCGATGTCATGGGTGGCTTTGTTGGTGCACTCGCCTGATTGCTCTAATGTGTTGTTAATCGCCCTCCAAAATGTTCCGAATACCGAAAAAATAGTCCAGCTGTAGCATCCTTCCGGTGCCTGATTGCCCCGCCAACCGAAGGTTGCACAAGGGCTAGGATACTACCAGGTTGCCTACGCCTACAAAGAGGAAGTCGACAAGCAGAGGTCGGGTTCGAACCACAGACCTTCCATTCAGTAAATTCGCGCTTTAACCACTTGGGTCATCTCGCCCTCCCCCCATATCCCCCGAATACCGAAGCATACGGTGAGACCTGAAATTAACATTTGCGTCATCTTTGTAATGACTTCACCAAAAACAGAGACTTCCTTAGCTTGGTGGTGCATGTAGGTTGGGAAGGAGGTCCAATGTTTCCATTCGCCGCCGCCATTTCCATTTCGTGGATCTTCCTTGTCCACTTCTTCTCCCGTTCAATCCGAAGACTGCGGGACAGGCGTCATTTCTGGAGTTTCGATTAATCGTATCCTAGTCTGGATTGGAATAACTTATACGTCCCGCTCAGGGACATGGATCATTGAGAACTAACTTAAATTTGGCCGTGGTGTTGCCTTGGAATGTACACAGTCAAACGCAGAATTCACAGCATTTCGGATTTCATTTGATTGGCAAGCTCGTTTTGCGTTCGTAAGCTGTCTAGACGGCTGTTGCCAACACACTTATTTGACGACCGGATCTTGCAGGCAGTGAATATCACAATGGTGGATGGTCTTTTTTTAGTCGACAGGAGACGAATTGTAACAGGAACGCGAACTACGTCACGAGCTGACTAGGTGCATGTATACCAAAAGTAGTCAATCATAAACACAAGATCGCCATCTACAGCTAACTGGTATGAGGTCAACCGGATTGGTTACAGTTTCGAGGGAGGCCTGGTTATCGGATGTCCAGGTTTGTGAATAAAGTTTGTTTGTGATAGGCAGATGGCGATTGACGCAGTTATGGGAAGCGGACGTCACTGTCTGTTCTGGGAGCATCCCATCTAGGCATCCAAATCGTCTCAGTCCAGTTCAGTTTATCAGATATAAATTATTTGCCAGGGACATATTGCTTTCAGCTTCTAGTTCCGATAGGCGACGAATGGGAGAGCGTGAAAGATGAAGCCAAGCATTGGAAGTGGCGGATACGCGATAGCTAGGCGATAGCTTTGATGCACTAGCGCCACCGAATACGTGACTGAGCCGTCGGTCAACGTTGTCGACCATTGGTGAGTT